TCCAATTGTACCTATATTCAATGAGTCCGAGAAATCAATATAAACTTAAGCCATAACATGAATGAGCTGGCTCCAAGAGCCCTTTGATCCATTCTATTTTTTCCTTTTTTGATATGTGAATGATGGCGACTAAAAATGACATTTCGAAATCCGTGGCTGAACATGAGACTCCCTATAGTCTGTACTAAGATAAGATGTCATAACGTAAGGCCCAGCGTGTCCATTTTTTCCTACCTGTGACAACTGTTTGTGAAAAACATCCTATTTTTTACATGTAACATTAATTATTAGTCACGAGACTAAAAAAATCATCCCAATGCAAGCGATCAAATGTGCCTTAATGGTTACCTGGCGGAAAACAGAACAGGTACATCATATTTCAGCTCAAATTCACACAGCTGGTAGACTCCCCCTGACGTAAGAGATAATGAGATCGATCTTCCTGACTACCAGTGGAGGAAATTTGAATAAACGCGTTTTGCACCAACTCAATATTTTATACAAATATTTTCCATGAGCGCTTAATAAAAGTACAAAATACGAAGATTGCCTCAAATTAAAGTTAGCTCTGTACAAAACTCTGATCATTGTAGATTAAGGAAACAATTATGAATAAACGTTGGGTTAAGTTGGTAGGTTAAGTTCACACATAAATCATGCCTGATAAATATATCTTATAAGACGTTTTGGTGTGTGGTATCGCTGAGTATTTTTACGAGTTGTGCCGTAATTTGAATCGCCCTCCGGGCTCGTCAAAATATTGCAGGATATTTGTACTCTATTCACGCGTTATTTATACTCTACTTTGTGCTGTGTGATAATAATAAAACGTATTGTATCAAACAATTTTTTTTAACGATAAATTGTTCCGAAAATCGTTTTTGAAAATAGCTTTTCGTCATTGCTGTTTACAATACCACGATCGAAATTGATATTTGATTCATTTCCTTTTCGTTATTAAGACATCATTTTACTTGGCAGAAAAATGCAAAAGAAATCATCATTTGAAAGAGAAATTGTTTTAAAAAATGCATAAACTTACCTTATGGTTTTGCTGTGTGTCTTGTTAATATAACACAAAAAGGATGATAGTGGAATTAATCATAGGCTGTCGTACAACACGAGGTCAGAAGTTATGTGCATTTCACTTAGTCAAAAAATAAACCGTCACTCAAAACGACCTTTTTTACAATAAAATACGACTCAGCAGATGTTGTATGACGAAATTGAAAGTTGGAGCGAAAAGTTCCTGATGAGCCAAAAGTTGGACAAGATCAAAGAGCCAATGCCTGATTCTGGGCAAATGGTAGGCTGCTTTATCATCCAATTTATGATGTCCTGTAGACCCGAGAAAAAGATAAAAACAGGAAGAGGTGCGTAGGCGCTGAATATGAATTTGTAGAATAATCATAATCGTACGTGTATATACGTACACGTACGTGTATATATATAAAGTGTAAAATTTTGACTTTCGTAAAACAGTGCTCAATACATAGGAGTAGAGCGATGTATATGGTGTGGGAGGAAAAAGTTAAATAAACTACAAATTTATCCCTACAGGCCCGCTTCTATTTCAAATCCCCTGACGAGTGAGCAACCACGAAGCAGGCCTGTAGGGATGAACTTCTAGTTTATTTGCGTGGAATATCTAAAATTTGGACAAATCAGTAAGACATAACTTTTCTGTGACTCTGAGTTTCACGCCTACGCGATCATCAGACAGATTTTAATGAAGAGTATACCTCACTTGCTTTAAATATATATACAGTAGTTAGTTAATTAGTAAGTCTACACTCCCTATACATTAGGGAGTATTTGTTCTCATGGCGGCATTTGGAAATTAATTCAGTTCTTTTGTTAAGGTTGCTTGCTTTGTCGGCTTTAAGGCAGGTAGAGGTTACATCTTTTCGAAAAATTGTTGTAGGCGCTTACTGAAGAGATGATGTAGTTTCCATTGTTGTCCTTGAGTTTCCAGATATGTTTTGCTAGTTCGGTGCGGTTGGCGTATTTTCTGTTACGGAATGATAGTTTATGTTGCGTATATCGTTGTTTGAATGTTCCTTCAGTTAGTCCGATTTAGTTCTTTCCAGGGCCGTCTTTATTACGCAGTAAGGCTTTTGTTTCTGTGGCGGCATGAGGACAATAGTTCATTACGTTTATTGAGTGATGATAATTCAGGTCGGCAGATGATAAGTAGTTTTTCTTTGAGGCTGATGAAAGGATGCACCATGAAATGAAGTGGTCAATGTTAGTTTCTTTAAGGGTCCAGATATGTTTGCTGAGTTCAGTAGAGTTTCTGTGTTTGTGTGTCGGAATGATTTGGTGTGGTTTCTGTATCTAGTCTTGAAGTTGTTTAAGTCCGATGTATGTTTCAGTGGTGCTGTTTTCCTTACATGTGATGGTGGCTCAGTAGATTAGTGATGATTGGAGACAGTTTCCGTTAAGTGGGCATGTGTTCTTCTGTCGGCAGTTGCAAGTTTTGGTGTCTTTTATGTTGGTGTTATCTGCGGTGTCATTGATGTGTTTGCATGAATTTAAAATGCATTTGTCGTGGTTGTCGATGATCTGCTCAGTATTATTCATACAGCTGTAACTGATCTTGATTGTGTTACGATTAAAGATTTTTCTATGTTTGTGGTCTTTTAGGAAGTGCTTGTCTACTAGGGCAAGGAATCTGAGTCCGATTTTGGTGCTGACGTTTTTATAGAGTGAGGGGTTGTATTAGAGTATGTTGCTCCGTTGTCTGTTTTTTCGTTTGTTAGTTATGGGTAGTTCGTAGTGTAGAGTGTAACGGTATCCGCATTTGTCGAGTACTTTTTGGTATGGAGGAGCGGCTTGGTCGAAGGATGACAGTCTTTCGTTGATACTGGCGGGTATGTTCTTTGTGGTGGTTGGTGGGTGGTTGCTTTCGCGGTGGACATATTGTAGGGTGGTGTTAGGCTTTGTGAAGGGCTAGTGGGTATTTTTGTTCAGGTTGAGAGTGACGTCTAAGAAGTTGATGTTTTTTCTACATTTCTTTGTATATCTTAACTGACTCCTCTTAGGAACTTGTATTCAGAGACTCGGTTATTGGTGGCCGAGTTTGTAAACAAACTTTACTTTACACCTTCTGACCTGTATTTCTGTTGAGTTTCTATTTTATATTATGGGAAAGGCGGCACCACGGCTACGCCCCTCCTTCTCCAATTTTTCTGCTTGCGCTATTGTTACATAGCAACCTTTAAAAGCAATTTTCTCTGCTGTTCTCATTGAAAGTCATATTCTGATGTCGCTAGACTGTTCTCTACAATTCCAGAATTACTTGTATTGTTTTCGTTATTATTTTAACCGAGTCCCTCCACAAGGCACGTGCGTAAACACCATTCACACGTAAGGTCTGATCAAAGTTATATTTCTTCAGTTTTTAGAACTTAATTGCACAATCATGATTCCTTTAATGGCCTGCCTTCCGCTTTCGATCAGAGTGAACATTATTATGTTTTGCCAACTGAGGAAAAGAAAACGGGGATATGATCCAGACGAGAAGAATCCAAAAGTGATTGAAGCTACGTCAGTAAAACACCAAGAGAAGGACAGAATAAAGCCACGGGTGGAAAGAACTTGGTTGCTATGCAGGCGATCGACAGACGTCACAGACGTGTGAGATGTTCAAGTTGTTGAAGAAAAGGTGCAGTAAATGGAGCGAAAATGCCTCGATGTGGGCGATGCACCCGTAGCTGGCGATGATATGATCTGATGTTGTCCAGTTTAAAGATGACAACTTAGACGAGGCGAGTTTCCGCCAATCACTACTTGGCAGCTGCCAGGCAGTAGAAAAGGCCAAAATAGAATCGGCTGTTGTGTTCATCCGTTCAGATTAGTTATTGGGTTCGTTGGTATTTCACATCAACGTTATATTCTTGTCTGGCTGTCACCCGTTAACTAACCAGGTTCGAAACCATGAAAATTGTGGGACAATTTTCTTCTTATCTTGATGGGTGTTTTTTTATGTTTTTTTATTTGTCTTAACATTGCATGCGAAGGCCACCCTTCGCTAGCTCTCTTGTGAACTCTTGATTGTAATCTTCTGTGATAGTTTTATCGCCAATTACTAGAGGTAAGGTTCCAATAACAGCTTTTGACACAAAAACTTCTGGGAGTACTTCGGGAACCATCAACCTCTACCATTAAAGCTTGGCCCGAAATGGTGGTGTCTAGCTTCCTAAATATCTTTAGGACTAGGTAAAGAGCTTCAGTAGCTTTCAGCGATGGCTTTATTTAAAGAAGAGATTGTTTTACAATGATAAAAGATCAAAACGCATACTATTAAACCACCCAAGAGAAAGGTTGATGGTTTCAGTTTCACTTAATTAAACTTATGTCAATCGTGGCGTATTTGATCGCACTGAGACAAAAAATCAACAAAAAATTTGAAAAAAAGAATTAAGAAGCAACAAAATGGCAATAGAACTAACATACGCAATCTGTTTTTTGTGAAAGGAAAGAAAACACCACAAGCTCTAAACATTTATCGTATACTTTGGTTGTTGCAGTAGTGGTCCGCCCTCCAGTGATGATTAATGATTGTCGAGGTGCAGTTAATTATGTTGCATCGCAGTAAGCCTGAGTAAGCCTTTCCCACAAGATATGTTACTACTTTGACCGATTAAACTTTGCGCTGGTCGTCACTATAAGTGCTTCGGTGCGAGTGCTTTTTCGTAAAAAGGAAAGTACGCGAGCAACTTCGAAAGTCATTATCTTTCAAAAGGTCCATCTTTTATTTAACAAATAAAGGAGGCTGGACTGTGTTCTATTCTGTTGTAAAGCACGCTGAAAGCGGCTAGAGCACGGAAGAAGAGTAGTCTGCCAGCGAGGGAAGAAAGCACTCGCGCGGTAACACTAATAAGGAGGACCTGTTTTAAGCTAAATCAGATACGTGCTTAGATTTTTTCAGAGTTAATGCAATCCACGTTAATCTAGTCTATTTACGCGATAGCGATGATTTTTCTTAGCCACTTAAGTAATACAGGATGCACCGTTTTATTCTCTGCTACGATTTGCAGTATCTATTGTGAGGAGTACTTTCCTCTACAAAGGAAAATAAAATTGATTCTAATTTGTTGGGTTTATGCGCTTATTTGAGATCTCGTGGTTATCTTCTTAATATCATTCAAATAAAATGAGGTGTTTGCTTCAGCGTCAGGGTATCATCAAGCTTCTCCATTGTTGACCTCTGTGATATTTGTATATGTCCTCTGAATAAATAAGTCACCAAAAATACGAATGAGGATAGAAATAACGGTTGTACAGTATAAGGATTAAATCTAAGCAGAGAATGAACTTAGGAACAAGCAAAAGAAAGAACGAATGGAAGCTAAGGTCATATAGATAGACGGAAAAGCAAGTGGATGGATGACTATGTGTACGAATGGATAAGTGGATAGCTGTAGTTGGAGACAAAAGGTTTATCAGAACGACTGACAGCGACAGAGGTATCCATGGAAGGGTGAAGGGAAGCAAAGATGAATAAATGGAAGGAGGAAGAAGAGGGCAGATATAATTTTAAGAAGAGCGAAAGGATGGGAAGAGATAGAAACCTTCTACATACGACCATTTATTACCTTCACTTCTCGCAAAAAATTCTTCAGCTGTTGAGCGATCCGCGAAAAGGCTGGTCTCATCAAAGGATTTTCTTTCCAACAAGAACTCATGAGTTCATATCTAAAAAATTCAATACAGTATTAGCCAAAATTGTCTTGCAGCTGATACTCCCAGCATCTGAATGGACCATACCAAGCGTCAAAGAGGTGATTTTGAACTCATGACAATAATCATCGAAAAGATCACATATTGGCCGAATGTGACATCTGTTTCGATGTACAAATTGTTTTTAAATCATCACGACTGATTCAACGCATCGTTTTGATTTTCAACGAGAAAAAGTTGGTGTCAGCGGATCTTGCGAGACTTTGCTGGAAGAGTAAAACGCTTTTCAATTATTTTTAAAGGAATCCGGGAGGCAAATGTCCATTATTTGAAGCCTTTTTCAAATTAAATGACTCAATTTAATTTAACTAGCATTATTTAAGACTTCAAAGCTTACAGTTCTTCTGAACATCGATCGGGACGAGGCATCCGGTATCCCGAAGCAAGTCGAGTTACTAAGGCAATTGGTGATGTGATGTCAGGGTATGGCAACTCACCTGTTTGGCGGAAAGAAGATATGATTTACCGATTTCATTTTTTAAAGAATATCATTTAAGACAATAAGTATTTAAGCAATAACTTTGTAAATAAATAGAAACTTGCTAAGACTTAATGTGGCTCATTTAGATCAATAAAATTAAGTGCAGAACTGTGACAAATAAGATATAGCACGTATAATATGTTTGACACAAGCACAACCTATACCTGGAAGCGTCCTTCTCATCTTGTTCAGTTTCGTTTGACTGGCAATAATCATTGTCAAAATGAAGATATTTGTGTATGATATAGTTAACTTTACAGAAGAGCCTTGCTAACTTTGGGTTGCTTTATGGATTGGAGCCTTATGACGAGAACATGATTTGTAGTTCTTAGGATGTCCTTTTAAGTCGCACATAGTAACACATCACACTTACCATAAGTGGCGATTTCCCATAGAACGATACCAAATGACCACCTGCGCATGCAAATATGCGTCATAGCCTTAGCCCTTCAACTCCCATTGGTGACCAAGACAGAATTTCTCCTTACAATTTCGATACAATATCAAGCAGGCAAGTGATGAGATGAAATATCAAGAAGGAGATTATTTGTTAAATGTAACGAAGTCTTTAGAAATTAATGGAACAGTGATTTCCCACAACGCTATTGCATAAGCTGAGTTAGAAACTTCTCCATATTCCGGAACATTCTATCGAGTTATTTTAAGGATATGTCATCATTAGCGTCTAGAATGTTCTTGCTGCTAAAAATAGTATTTCAGAAATAAGTATTATGTAATCGGCTACTATAAATAAGGTTCGAGATGGTAAGGTTTTCAGAAGTTGAAGATAAATAATAAAGTGTGTAAAAGGAAAACAAGAATCTTCTTCTGGCTTCGTGACATATTTGGTGGCAACGGTGGGATAACCTTGCCGAGGTTTTACGTCAGTAAGCAAGGACTCACAGAGGAATAGAAGCAGTGGATTTCGAAGCAATGGAAAGCTTTTTCATCGCTTCCCACTGAAAAGTCTACGAAATATGACGAAGTAAAAAATGCCATCATGCAACGACACAACGTGAACTCTGAAATGTATCGTCTGAGATTTCGAAATGATTCTTACAAGCCAGGCGAGTCACATCGTGAATACTTCAATCGTTTGGAAGAACACTTCCAGCGCTGGACAAAGTCGCAAGAGATGGAACGCAGAGACTTAATAATTTTGGAACAATTTCTTCAAGGAGTGTCGACTGATCTATCAGTTTGGCTTAAAAAAAGAAAGCCTAAGTCAGCTAAAGAAGCCGCACAAATGGCTGATGACTACGTTCTAGCCCGTGGAACTAAGCCTTCTTAACTTATGAGAAGTTAAGCAGACCCCAACGACTACAAGGTGAACCTGCCGTAAAAGTGATACAGGAAAAATAGCAATCATCAAGGCCTTTTTTCAGAGCTCCTCCTTCAGAAGTACGCAACATACCGCCTCGAAGCAAAAAAAATACTTAAGGTGAGAAGCAGTGTTACAATTGTGAATGAAAGTGATCCTCGCAGTAATGTGCACTACTTAGGCAGTAGTGAAAATAAGGCCTGAAAAAAATTCAGGCCCGTACGGGATTTGGTTCAAATCTCGTACAGGCCTGAATTTTTTTCAGGCCTTATTTTCACTACTGCCTAAGTAGTGCACATTACTGCGAGGATCACTTTCATTCACGTCTTTATCCGCAGTTCAAATATATGACTTTCATATATTCTTAACAGTGTTATAATTGCAAGAAATGGGGACACATTGCAACAGTTTGCCCTCAAAGAACAACCACGCCAAATTTTAAAGCAGATGCCAAGCCAGCTTTTGTTAGTGAATCATGTCGACAGCGAGTATGCAACCCAAGTAACAGCAAGTACATGTTTGAAGGCAAAATCGAGGGAAAAGATGTAAATATGCTTGTTGATACTGGTAGCTACACAACTATCGTGAAAGCTGATCTTGAGGAGAATGAAAAATGGAATGAAGGAGAGACTATCAACGTTGTTTGTGTTCATGGAGATTCAGTGGGTTATCCAACAGCAGAAGTGGATTTGGAGATGGGTGGTCGGATAAAGAAGACTAAGGTAGCTCTTGTACCAGGAGTACCAGTTGATGTTTTAATAGGGATAAAGGACTTTGACTTGTCATAAGAAATCCCAAGCCAATCAAAGTGTACACACAATCTTGCCGTTATGACAAGATCACAGACAAGAAAAGATGCTGAAAAGCAGAGCAAAACGGAAGCTGCTGAGAAAATAAGATTTGCTGACAAAAAGGAAGCTGAGAGTGATTTTACAGAACAAATCAGGGAACCGGAAAACATACAAGATGAGATTAGGAAACCTGAGGAAGAAGAACCCAAAACCAAAACCGCCGCATCAGATAGTATTAATCCTGAGAATGCAGGTCCTGAGATAATTCAGAAGTGGCAGTCAGAAAACCCAACTTTAGAGAAAGCGAAAGCCTTGGCAAGAGAACCTAAGCAGCAGGAGGAAACAAGATCAGAAACAACTTTCTTTTACAGGCAAGGCTTGTTATATCGCCAGTGGATACCAAAAGGGAGCGACAGTGAAGATATTCGATCTGTGGAACAGTTGGTACTTCCCCTACAGTGCCGCGGCACAGTTCTCAAGTTTGCACACGATATACCCGCAGCTGGTCATCTTGGAATCAACAAAACCAAGGACAGAGTATTACAGCGCTATTACTGGCCTGGTGTGTTCCGGGATGTTGCCAATCATTGCCGTACGTGTGAGATTTGCCAGAGGGCGCAAGGAAAGAGATATGGAGCACGAGCTGAGATGATCCCTCTGCCATTGATTGAGAAACCTTTCCAGAGAATAGCTATGGATATTATTAGACCACTCCCGAGGAGCAACAATGGCAACAAATATATTCTTACAATTTGCGATTATGCGACGCGTTATCTAGAGGCTATACCCATACCTAACACGGAAGCTACTACAATCGCCAAAGAGCTAGTATCAGTGTTTGCAAGGGTTGGGATTCCTGACGAGATCCTCACAGACCAAGGGTCAAACTTTATGTCGAGTCTGTTGCACGAAATGTACCTCATGTTGAACATTAGTCGTTTGAGGACCTCCCCGTATCACCCACAGACAGATGGCCTAACGGAGCGATTTAACGGAACACTTAAGTCGATGATCAGAAAATTCACAGCAAGTAATCAGAAGGACAAGGATAGCACCTTCCTCACCTACTCTTTGCATACAGAGAAGTCCCTCAAGAGTCGACCGGGTTTTCTCCTTTTGAGCTCCTCTATGGAAGGAGAGTACGTGAACCCCTTGATATCCTAAAAGAGGCCTGGGTTGGTTACGAAGGTGAGAAAGAGAACGTTAACATCCATGTTTTGGAGATGAAAAGATGTCTAGAGGAAATGTCAGAACTAGTCAAGGAAAATTTGACTAAAAGCGCAGAAGAGGCAGAAAAATTATTATGACAAGAAGTCCAAACCACAAGACCTCAAAGTGGGAGATGAAGTGCCAATACTTGAACCCGCAAGGAGAAGTAAGTTGCAACTTGAATGGAATGGCCCGTATAAAGTGATGAGAAGAGTATCTGAAGTTGATTACGAGGTACAGACTCCAGGAAGGCGTAGAGAGAAGAAAGTGTACCATGTTAACTTGTTGAAGAAATGGCAGAAGCCTGAGACGGTAGAGGGGTTTACTGCCTTAGATGACAGTCAAGAAAGACAAAAACCAGAGGTTGACGCGATGGGCAATCGCTACCCTGCAGTACCAATTTGAAATACGGCATCGACCTGGAGTACGACATGGCAATGCTGATGGCTCATCACGTGGGCCGCTGTTAGCGACTTAAGGGGGAAAGAATGTTACGAAGTCTCTAGAAATTGATAGAACAGTGATTTCCCACAACGCTATTGCATAAGCTGAGCTAGAAACTTCTTCATTATTCCGAAATATTCTATCGAGTTATTTTAAGGATATGTCATCATTAGCGTCTAGAATGTTCTTGCTGCTAAAAATAGTATTTCAGAAATAAGTATGATGTAATCGGCTACTATAAATAAGGTTCGAGATGGTAAGGTTTTCAGAAGTTAAAGATAAATAATAAAGTGTTTAAAAGGAAAACAAGAATCTTCTCCTGGCTTCGTGACATTAAACCCATACCAAATTCTCCGCATAAAATCTAAAGAATTGTATGGCAGACAGTAAGGAGACTTACCGATGAGACCTTGGGAGTGAAAGGGTTAATAACTTCAATGAATAAAGAATTCGAACAATTAGCGTTGAATTAATTACAGATTGAATCTCGTTGTATTCTTTTAGTGTTTCATGGATATTTACATCATTCAAAACTTCGTTGAGTCTTTCCTTTTATGTGGACCTTGCCTCTGTGTGTCCATAAATGCAAATAGGTATAGATACACCATGCATGTACATGTACATGAAGACGAACAAATAATGTAAAAGGAAGCCCAGATGCAACTATAATAATGCTCCAAGGGATATACCAGAGCGCGAGGCAGATGCTTTTTTTTTTGGAAATCCTTTCAACTAGGCAATGCGCCCGACTTTATGGTCAAGAGACAGAAATTTGACAGTATTAAATATACAAAGTGAAACTTACACATCACTCATGGATGTAAAATGCAGATCTCGTAGAGATTCTAACGACGACCATCTCCACGGAACCTTGCCCTGTTGAAAAGATAAATTAATGTGAGAAAGCATCTGTTTGTAGTGCAGGCAATGCCCTTTGAAACTGGAAAGCGGATGACTTATGAAACGGAAGGGTGCATTTATTGATAGTAAGCGAGTTCTTTTCCTACGTCAAGATATATGATAGTTTGTAACTATTTTTAATTTTTAGTAAAATCCAGAGTAATAGTTACCGTGGCCGTTGCTATTGTTGTTGTTAATATTATCATAAGTTCAGAAACTAACAGGAGTCCGATTTTTTTTGTCACGAAACTCCTCTGTTTGGTTGGGTAAGTGGTTGTCGCTATAGATAAAATAATCTATTCTGCGTTTGGTATATTTGGCTGAGTGAGTATGGTAGAATTGGCTGCTGTAACTGTCCGATTACAGGTGTCCGATTACATCCAACTGTCCGATTACAATCAACGGAAAAATTTGTGAAACATAAAGCGCCTAATCTATCAATCACATTCGAAGAAATTGTAATTGTTGTGTCAAGTTAAGTAAACGTGTCACATAATACACAGCTCGTTGAGAGTTTCATTGTAAATTATATCATTAGAAGAAATTAATTTCTTCTGCTCGATTGTGCCAAGGAAGAGCATCAATTTAAATGCATTTTGGTTTGTTTGATTTTTCTGTTTAGTCGTTAATATTGATTGCACAGCGTACTTACGCTGGAGGTTATGGTGTATATACCAGCAGCGGATATGTCCCTGGCTAATCCAAAGTCTCCAACTTTAGCCACTAAGTTGGCATCAATTAAAATATTCCTTGCTGCTAGGTCGCGATGGACAAACTGTTAGAGAAGACAATGTATAATTTTTTTGCTTAGAGATGCTCAATGATTGAGTGGCCCATACGAAAGTGCGAAAGATCCTCAATGGCTCCTGAAGCCAATTTACAAACTGGGATTGCCCGCGTTATAAATACTTTGCTTAACAGAGCCTCACGAATGATTGGGTGGCCTATAACAAAATGTAAAAGGTCCTGAATGCGTCCTTAAGCCACTTTAGTGCAGCAAGAGATTATAAACTTTTTGTAATTTCTTGAGAGAAGTCATCTCTAATGGAAAGTTGGCAAATTTTAATTTTACATTTATTTCTACACACTGCCAGCGAGTCTTACCTTTCTCTCCTCTAAGTGCTGCATTCCCATGGCGATCTGAAATGCAATTGTGACCAGTTGCCGGTCATTCAGCTTACAGCAGACGTTATGATAATTGTTCCTTTCCCCTGGCGCCCTCAAAAGATTTTCCAGACTGCCACCATGAATCAATTCAGTGACCACAAGAACGTTTCCTTGAGAGAGTAGAGCAAACACTAAAGAGTTGACGAGAGAACGAAATTGAACATAACTGGCACCTTGGGTTGATCAAAAGATGATTCGTTGATAATTTAAGTTTAGCTGGTGCCCAAAAAAACAGGAAAAAAATTCCGCATTAACTTCCCTGAATTTAGCCCACAAAAATATGTTCTTATCTTTCTTTAATCATAAGGTTAGTACATGCACTGTTCTAACTGAACTTACACACGGCTGAAACATTACCTTGTTTATATCAATCACCAAGTAAACATGCATATTTCTAATACGTTGTATCTTCGAAAACTGACTTACCTCCTTCTATCCGCGTGCCAATCAAAGTGACAATATTAGGATGTTTCCCAGCTTGCTTTAAGGTCCTTATCTCATTAAGCAGGGTTTCTTTGGCAATGGCACTAGGGTCTACAATGACATAGAGAAAGAAAAACAAGGGAATTTCTTATATTTCTTCATTTTACGTAGTTCGCTCATTCCATCTGGCTATGGTAACAAAATTATGTATGGAGAAAAACTGGCTTGGTTAAGGCTACAGAAAGCATTCAGAGGGGAAAATAGCAGACTTTATGGGTTTTTTCCAAGAAAAGTAAAATGATAAAAAATTAAGATGGTGCATAGCTTCGAGAAAGAAAAATCCGTTTAGAGGTCACCACTGTACTTAAGATATAACAGGTAGACATTTCGATTCGTGTACCTACCTTTTAGCTTCTTCACAGCTACATCTGTTATGTTTCCGTCTTTCCCACTATAGCAACCTTTATAGACGATTCCAAATTCGCCTTCTCCGAGTATTTCATCGAACACTTCAAGATTTTCCAAGTTTACGGAACCTTCCTCGGTCTCTTGAGATATCTCTCCACAATCCCGCTGTTCGTCGACACCCAGGTGTTTATCAGTTGTGGAAATGTCACCACCAGCAATCCCCTCGCTCGACTCTAACCTCTCTTGGCTTCTTTCTTTCATTCCTTGCACCAAATCATCCCACTCGCTTCCGTCTGGAGGCAGTCTGTCTCCAACTCCATCCCCCATTAACGGGAGCCTTTCCGCGGGGATTTCGATGGTTTGGCTATTGGGCGACCGATTGTTTTCAAGGTTCTGTACCCCATTTTTCAACTTTTGGCCTTCTTTCAGATACAACTTTGTTGCACGTTTTCGTCCCTGTTATATAATTGAAGAGAATAGGCATTTGTGAAATCTATCCAATAAGCGTGTTTAGCTTTTATCATCATCATCATTTGTTTGAGATCCTTTCATAATCCTGCATTTATACTCGACGAACTGAAATCTCTCGCGCTTTGATTTACTAGTCAAATGTGATTTAAATAGCGTTTGTTTGATAAGGAAGGAAACCAGTTTAGCTGAAATAGACGCACCATCTTTCACAACCATAATCCTCAAATGCGATAATTTTAAGGTATGAAAGGTATGGGAACATTTTTTTCAGATTTAACTGCTTCATAAACCCCGTGAATATGGGTCGTGCAGGCCCTTGGTTGTTTATGCATGAAATATTTACAGACCCAAAGTGGAGGAAAGGGTAATTTGGAGTACACGAAGTAGGGACAGAAAAATAAGACCAAACTGACGAAAATCATCATGAAAGGGAAAAGAGTTCGTAATAATAATAATAATAATAATAATAATAATAAGTTAAATTTGGGAAGTTTCTTTCGACTCTGCATCTTACCCCTTGAGGAAACTGCATGTTTCTTGGCTGGTCAATCCCAGCATTCCTCCGGACATCAACACAAGCAAAGTGGTATGACGGACAGAGGAGATCATTACCTTGTGTGGGGATATCACGTAACGTTTTATTTACCTCCTTATCACGATTTTTACGCCGATTCCACACAAACCCAGTGACTACACAAATTACTGCAGCTACCAAAGTGCATGATACAGCGACTATAGTTGTCTGAGATGCTGAATTTTCTGGCTTTCTGTTCACGGGGGTGGGAGTAGGAGTTACTATGGATAAATGATAAAAAAAATGTAGTAACAAACAGTACAGCGCTTGTAATTAAGAAGGACCCCTCTTACCCTGTTTTTTTTTCCTTTCCATTTATGAAAAATATCTCACCTTTTTTTAAGACAGCCACTCCTGATTGACTTCTTCCAATGCTGCTATTAGCAATGCATTGATATTTTCCATAGTCTTCCATCCCTACTCTCGTTATTAAAAGCTGGCTGCGATTCGCTCGACCGTCCGGAATGACACGTGCTCTAGGGTTAGACTGTAAAGGATATGAAGCATTGTCCTTTATCCAGTGGATTGTTGGCCTTGGGAGACCCCTAGCGGTGCAGCTTAAGGAAGCATTGGAACCGATCAGGACACTTTGGTTCTTTGGACCTTCAACGATCTCAGGTTTCTGGGCATCTAGCAAATTGAAACAAAAAGAATTAATATAAATGAATGGGACGTTATGAGTTGTCTCATTTGTGATCTTTCTTTGGATGTTGGGGCCCAAGGCTTCTTTGCCGCTCGAAAGACCCGGTTTGAAGAGAATTAAACTCTAAGGGGGTCTTGATGATAAGAAGACTGAGGAGGTACGGGGACCGGGTGAAACTGAAAATGACAACTTCAAAATTTTGTATAAAAAATTTATAGAAAACATTGCTTCTTTTCTAGCTCTTGATACTCTGATACAGGTGCTGAGAAAGAACTGTTTCAGGCCAACCCTCCTTGGCCGGAGTGTAAGCCTCTTCTTGTTTTTCAATTCTAATAATTATCATTCGTTTATTTTGTTTCACAAAATTTTTTGCTGTTTGTTTATTTTGTTTTTCATCTTCCGAAGAATATGTTTTTTTTTTGCTTCAGCATCGCCGGCACCGTATTCAGCGATCACCCCTGTATTAAGCAGTCGGTTGCATTACTGTTTGTCAGTTGTCAAAGTCCTAAATTTGTTTCCCCTTAATCACTGTAATTTTTATCTGTAGTAAGCGGTTACCTCTACTTAGCGGTCTCAGTCGACCTTTACTAAGTCCTAACGGCCTCTTTGAATTGCCTTCCGCCTGTTTTTAACGGTCACTTATGGCCGAACCACCCGAATGAAAACAACAATAATCCTTCAAATACCTTTTATCCATGTTTCTCTCCCAAAATCGAAGTAAACAGTATTTTTGAGCGAGATTCTGTACATAAGTGGTCAATTATAGCAGTAGCGTTAGTGCTGTTATGTATGTTTTGATTTTGTTTTTGGTTTTCTGTTTTTTTTTTTTTAATAATACCCCTTGTATTAAGCGGTCACACCACCATTCCAAGTGAGGGGCCGCTTAATACAGGTTCGATTGTACCAAGTAATAAGATATGTATCAGGACAGGTCAATCGAATTGCTCCTGATTCAAATTTAATCGTTATCTGCGAGAATAATCTCGTTCTTTGAACACTGCATTTCGAGTCTTGTTAGCCAATGGCCACATGGCGGAATTTTCTGTTTGCATGTATCGATCATGAGTTGCCTGTCCATACATTTCAGGAGTTTCTTAGAAGCTCATTATTTGAGGCTCCTTATTCCTAAATTAAACATCTTCGGCATCCATCTTCGAATTAAATAACATATGATGTATATTTTCATTTATCAAAAACTGGATAATTGGATAATGCAATTCAAGAGTTTTCATTGGCTTACCCATTATGGGTTACGGGTCATTATACCATATGCGTGCATAAAGACAGTTATACCGGAAGCGTTTTCGTACATCGTAACATTCAGTTTGTTCTTGCAAAATATAGTTGGGAAGATTGATTTATATATGTTCCGGGCCGTTTTTGGATTTAATAATTGTTCCACTCGCACTTTTTGGATATGCGATGATAGACGGCCAACTAGGCCCTATGGGCCGCGTTGGCCGTCTATCATCGCATATCCAACACGCACTCGTCGAATAATTGTTTATTAAAGATATGACTAGCCTGGTTTGCTTACCTTGAATAACTATTTCAAATGATTTCCTTGTGCAGTAGTTTCTGTAACCATTGCCAGCTTGGCAGGTGTAGCGGCCAAATTTATCAACTGTCAGATTTTTGAGCACTAATGGACAGCTTAATTTAAGTTTGTGTGCACGTCTGTTTGAAGGCTGCAGGCACTTAGCTCCAGTTTCCTTATTCTGTGGATCGTACCACTCGATATAACTGACCCATCTATCGTGATATCCTCTATCTATTGTTCTGGGCTCTGCTGTACAAGTCAGGGTAATAGAGACACCAATGGGTAATCGGTTGTTTTCTGGACTTGAGGATGTGTCCACAACGGGTCTGACTGAGTTGGAGAGA